GCCATAATCCACGCTTGGGTGATTTCTGTACTGGAATCCAATATGCGTAATTCATTAGGATCGGTTCGGCAGTTCATTTACCAAGAAATGAAGTATCAGCACACTTGGTTTGGGTAACGACCTTCCAGTATCTGATCCGAAATACTAATTTCGCACATAAGGGTCACCGTTTTGGCAGACAAAGGTGTTCTCCACTTGCAAAGACACATCCTTTAAATCACACCCGGATTTACCATCACTCAATGATGTTGAACAAAGGACCACATAAAGTACACTGACATCCAACAAATCTTGTGCATTACGGCACAGCACAGATTCACACAGAAGTACATGTAAGCAGTAAATATGGCGATGGATAGAGATATTTGGACAGCAGAGAATAAACAGTGCCATAAATAATACAATGGAAAACTGTACATCATTCTATACCTACCATTGTCTGTATACAATACACTACACTAAGTGCTTACAATTGGCATGGAAAATAGACAAAACAGAAAAAAAACTTTTAACTGTATCCATAACTTTGAATCAGTGAGAATACTGTTTATTGCACATTCAAGGACAACAATTTTTTCAGAATAACGCCATGAAATATAAATATTCCAGGCAAAGTAGAAGCCCAGTCAGGATAACACTCTCTTTTAATTCAACAGGTGCCACCTACCAATTTTGGTTAGAACTGCAGGTCCCGACCTGTCCTTCCCAATACCCATTCTTCACCACATCGGGACGTCAAGAGGCGTGTATCCTGATATAGCTCCTTCTTACAGTACCAGTATTAGAAAATCATTCCACTCCCTATCCTCCGCCTTTTTTTATCTTTCTGTGTGGATGTTCTTCTCCACTCATCACAAGACTATTGGTCCCTCGCTGCAGATTAAACCAACTCCAGACTTGAGCCCTGGACTTTTCCGTAGCCCCCCCGAAATCCCCCCATGCATCACTGACAAGTGGGACACGTTCTTCGGCAGTGTTAAACTAGGAAACTCCCGCACCTGCACGTTAACTCTAAACCCCGTCGTTTGTCAACCCTACGCTGTTAACCCGACATGACAGTAGAGTCCAAGGCCAATGCCACAGGAACATTACAGAGTCAGTGACATTTTTATGATGAAATCACTCAGGTCTAAGTAATGTCTTACGGACGGGTGAAGAATAAGATATTGTTGTACAGGAGACAGATTTGTGTACACACACTTCTCCCTCATTGTCCATTCTTCTTCATTCTTTGTCAAGAAGAATGGGTGTATGTGTGTATGAAACCGCCCTGGCACAAGAATAACTTTTCTATTATATTTATATACTTTACAGTGATGATCCTAATATGACAGTGTTCGAAATACCTGTCTGCAGTCTGCAAACTGCAGATAGATTTCAAAGATTGCAGAAGAAAAATTTATACAATCTGCAATTTTGCAGCAGGAAAAATTGGCACTTGGGATTTGGTGCTCTTGTCCCCAAGGACAGACAACAAAAGTTCCTGTTCTGAAACAACAGGAGCTTCTTCACTAATTTACATCAACTTTGTCTTGACTTGTTTATCTTTTGTTTCCTTTTGGACTTTCAAAAATTTGTCTTCACTAATTTACATATCAATCAATAGTTCATGCTTATAAACTTGCAAGATTGTAGTATAGAGGCTTGTGTAGTTGCAGAAAGTATTTCCAAATTGCAGAACAAAATTTTGACTCTTCTGCAATATTGCAGAGCACTGAAAAAAAGTATGAGGTACAACTGCTAAATATTAATCCTGGCTAATGGGGCTTAGTAGCGTAAGAGAGAAAAAAATGCTTTGATGCTTGAGAATAGTATGCAAAGTGTGAAGGCAATAAGGCCTAGGAATAAAAAATGTTGTGTTTCCTGTTTCAGTCCTGAAAAAAATTAGGGTCGATAGGCAGGGACTATCTTTTTTTTGCAATCTCTAGTGATCTAACTTATACAATACAGTTTATCAAACTGAAACTTGTATGAGGACACTTGGAACATGTCAATGATGGAAAACGGATGGTAGAAAGTTTCATCACTCAGATGTCAGATCACAGAGCTAGAAAAGATCGATCAGCTCAAAAAATATTTCCCTTGCAGGGGTCTACACACAAAAAAGAAGGCTAAGGTCGGCAGTTTTTTATTGGGTCAGTTGGGAAACAGGAAACACAACATTTTTTCCCAGGCCTAAGCATACATGGGAATGGCATGCCACGCTGTCAGTCATCTCTGGATGAAAAATCTCTTTCTAGAGGGCTGAACATAATAACGGAGAATAGTCACGCATTTAGAATCACAGTGCTATTGACAAAAGCCTGCGTTTCTCGACCATCATTCTAAATTCGATTAAATCACATGTAACGGCTGTCTTTCCAGGAGAGAAGGTGTAATGGTTATGGTGAAATTCCCATCCTTGTGATGCAGGAGAAAGTTACAGCGTCAGACAGTCTGGTGCCTTTATCTACCACCAAGGGGTACAGGGCCTCTGTTTGTCTCCAACAGTACAGTTCACTGTCCATCATGACAAAGACATTGATACGTGTGTGAAGACCTTGCCCCTTAGACACACAGCTTGGAACAGATGATAGGAAAATCTCAATCTTTGGAGGGAAATAGCACTTCAACAAAATGGAAATAGAACATTTTGCACAAAGAGCTCTTAGGCCACAGAGAAAGAAAAAACATTTCAAGGCATTAGAGTGACTGCAACGTGTTGATTCTTCATGGAAAGTCAAATATAGAAAACCGCTAGAATAATGACCTAGGCTTAGAAAATCGAAATCAAAGCTCTGGTCACAGTCATATGATGCACCTACATGTACGGTTGAAGGTACATGTATTTCTGCAATGATCCTGCTATACGTCATAGATTTGAGAAGAAACAGGCGCAATTGTTCAAAAATCAAACTACAGTATACTGTACCCGTTTCTTTTCAAAACCTACAACGTATGACAATTTCGTAGCAGAAAAAACAAGAACTTGTCTCTAAGTGCCTGGGATCATGTTGTATATGAGATCGGGGCTGAAGCGAAGAAACTACAATGTACAGAAGAGAGAGAGAGAACAAACTTAGAGAGAGTGGAGGTGATAGAACTGGACAGAGCTCCTTGGAGAAGCGCCAAACTGACAGCCCAACCAGTGTGAGAGAGAGCCAATGGCAAGAATCCAAATACAGATAATGTGGTGCTGATGACTTGTGTGACTTCATACATGCAGGATAAACTCTGCTAGCATATTGAGCAATAACTTTATCTCAAAAGTCCTAAACCACATAAAATGCAGATAAAAGAATCGAGAGAGAGATCAAGAGTGACATCAATTGAAAGAGAACATGAAGTCAATTGAACTGGACAGAGTTAAATAAACAAACTCTGCTAGCAAATTGAACAGCCACTACATGTAACTTGTAACTACATGTAACATGTAACTAATCTCAAAACCTCTAGGACACAGGAAATCTAAATAAAAACTACAGAGAGAGAGAGTAAGAAAATGAAGTCATTTGAACTTGACTGAGCTGCATTGAGAGGACTAAATTGAAGATGTTGCAAACTGACAGTCCAACCAGTCTGGGAGTGGCGGAGCATCCAAACATAACCCGTTACTGCTTAAATGGCCAAGACACATGTACAGTAGTACTGTACAGCAAAGCACTTGGGCTTGCACTGCTAGTCGACTGATTAGCCCCTAATCATAAAACATGGAATCATGAACAAAGGTAATCATGTGGTAGTTACATGTTTAAAGTTAAAACTTTTGGTCCTACACATTCAAAGAAAATCACTCACCTAGAGCTTTTGAACAGTCACCCAGTGTTGATGTCACATTTCAATGAAGCCACGTGACAAGCCTCACTGGGTCAGTCTACAGAGGAAGACCAGAGTGACTGGTCAAAAGCTCTAACTAGGTTAGAGATTTTCCTTCTGTTGGAGCAAAAGTTTTAACTTTAAATATAAAACGTGGAAGTTCATTTGTTTTGCCTCGGACAAAAATAGTCCTCAGACCTGGCAGCCTAAGTGGGGTCGTCTGTCTCCAACTCACCTTTAACTTTCCTATCTTTGCCATTTGCACTCCTGATGGCTTTGGTCTTTTCCCTCTTGCGTTGCGCCCTCTCCTCCTCTTTCTTGTCGAACGCTTTGACGTCAAACCTGTCGTCCACCTGGGAGTCTGGACTTGGTGTGGACTGTGTCGAAGTGGCTTCGTTACTTTGCACTGGGAATGCCTGCACGGGGGAGTGAACAGCAAAGTCTCTTGATTTCATCCCAATTTAGACCAGAACTAAAACTAGGCAGTTTTCCCCATTTTTTCCCCCCGGGGATCACTGTAGTTTTAACCATATTGTCTCTGTCACCAACAGATTTTTTCTATCAATTTTCCCTATATACAATGTATATATTTTTCCTGGATCATCCTAGCTTAACCATGGTTATCTCTGACACCAATGGATTTTTCTTGCAATTTTCCAGACATATTTTGTTCTGGATCACTCTAGCTTAAGCATGGTTGTCTCTTCAATGGATTTTGAGACTAATGGATTTTCTTGCAGTTTTCCAGAATGTGATTTTCTTTCTGGATCGCCCTAGCTTAACCATGATCTTAACAATGATCTCTGACACCGGTGGATTTTTCTTGTAGTTTTCCAGATATATAATAAAAGAATTAAATAATATATATATAGTTGCCTCTAGATCTGATTTTTTACAGTTTCACAGTTACAGTTTTTCCCTATCATCCTAGATTAACCATTGATGTCTCTAACACCAATGGATTTTTCGTGCAATTTCCCAAATATATCTATTTATTCCTAGATCACCATGCTTGTCTCTGACACGGATGGATCTGTCTGCACCCTACATCCCCACTTCTAAAGAGTGCATCACCAAAAGATCTATCCCCCTGACAGGGCTGTCTGCCACCTGATGTATGGAGCAGATTTCCTCAAACACGCCCAGACAAAACCTCCCTACAGGAGGGCCGGTGACGGATGGACCCACCTGTGAGTTTATTGCACAGTTCTGGCTGCCCAAGGCGCCTGTATTTGCACTGATCCTGACCCGTGGCTTCTTGGCGGCGACTTGCTGGTCCAGGCTGTCCAGGGGGCGTTTGGAGGCCTGGACGGGCTGCTGTGAGGGGGGAAATGGGGAACAACAGGTGTCAGTCGATACCACAACACAACCTCGTATGTCACTGTTTATTCTGAATGTTGGACATTCATACACTGCCTTAGGCCCGATTTAGACTAGAAACGGTATACCGTTTCCAGAACGGTACGAAACGTTTCGCCACAGAAAACGGTTCGTCTTTAGACACAGAGGCGGAAGCGTTTCGGGCCGCCCGTGGCGCAGGATGTTTCTGACCCACAGTGACCTATGATGACCTCCCCAAACCGCTTCTACGGTTTGCCTCATTGGCCTTATGATACTTGTGTTTCAGGGCCTTGAACTTCGCCCGAACCTGCTTTGGGGTGCGTAAATACCCCTCAGCCGCCAGCCCGTCCACAAGCATCTGTATGCCCTTCCTATTACGCGAGGTCTCCAAGCGGGATTGTATAGTTTGATCGGCCCACAAGCTGATCAAGCAGCGGGTCTCTTCTTGGGTCCATACCCTCCCCTGGCCTTCTGCCATCCCCCCAGACATAAAGGATGACGAAAATTCGAGAAATACATGATATAAAATGGCGAAAATGGACACAATCGAATATGGCGCGAATCTACCAGAAAATGGACGCGCGTGGGCTTATTAGCATGTGATTAGCATATGACACGTGACCTGGTTTACCGTTTCAAGAAACCCTTTGACTTTAGACCTAGCAAAAAGCGTTTCGGGCCCCCCGCTGAAGGGTTCTGAAACGGTTGAAAACCACGATGGAGGTGGTTTTCAGAAACGGTCCGCGAAAACCCATAACAAACCGTTTTTTCCTCTTTAGACCGGGAACGGTTAACCGTTCCGAAACGTTTCCCTGGCCAAAACCCCTTAAGCGTTTCTAGTCTAAATCGGGCCTTAATCTTACAAACCAAACAAGTGCTTTTCAAAAAGCTGGCATTTCAGCCGGGTTTGTGGAAGATTTTCTCCAGTTATTGGAGTAAAGGTTGCCAAAGAAATGTTACCCTTATTGTTTAAATTGGACTGTCCCCAAGAATTGACTTCTATAAACAAATGTTTGAAGCTGTTATGTTCAATGTTAAGGTGGAAAGCACCTCAATATTTTCACATTCAAATAGATTAATATCATTGTGTGCAATAATATTAACAAAGGTTTTCAAAGTAAAACAAAAATAATTTACATAGAGTGGCAGAATTCAATTTTTTACAGTTACAGGTTTACTTGATTGTGGATAATGAGGCAAATGCAAAAAAAAAAGAATATTGGCAAGTTTACTGGATTCATATGGTATGAAACAGAGGCAGAGTAACTGTACCAGCAATACTTAATCTCAAACATCTTTCCTGTTAATCAACAAGGTGGCTAGAAAAAAACATTTAACAGCTTTTGAGAAAAACATCTGATTCAATTAAAGGTGCTTTAAAAAATGACTTTGTATCACATCTGAGAGTTTATTCTGGCTTGTTTCTGTGATAAGAAAAAAATAACTTTTGCACCTCTCCAGTGCTGGCCAACTCTACACAACAACAGAGGCATAGCTATAGGGAGTACATGAAAGTTAGTTGGAGCTCTCAATAAAACTACCCCAAAATTGGGAGTTGAAACGAGTCCATCTTTGTCACATAAAAGACCCCATAACAAGTTATGTTTTTTAGTCCCAAATTTCACTCAGATTTGGTGTTACTATGGATAGGATCTATAAAATATCAAATCATATTTTGTGTCCATTATGGATAAAATGAGTTTAGGTTTCCAATGATACATGTACATGTACATTGTATTAGTTACAATTTGTCAAAATTTCCCCCTCTATATTTTCCTAATGCCACCAAGGAATAGCGCTTTGTTGCAACTGTAGATAAACATGGTTTTTCTACTGCACCTTGGTTACAGGAATTTTTGCTTGTAATTCATGGCTGTCGTTTGAAAGTTTCAGTTCGCAATCATACGGTCACAAATGGGCCGCACGGTAAAATCATATCAATTTGAAAAATGTCTCCCGCAATGCCCTGCTGAGTCTACGCTGTAAACGGCAAAGCGGCCGACATGTAATCCCGAATCCGTTGAGACAGGCCTAACCAATCGCCTACACATCAAAGACAACATCTATGCACCGCGCAAACTATCTCCACTTAGGCCACAGCAAGTAATATTTATGGATGACATCAATGCGCACATTAAAAAAAAAACTAGAAATTTTGTTGCCCTCCGACGGTATTCAACATCTCGCAAATGGGCAAATATGTCGTAAACATCTGTCGGTTCACAGACCGACAGCGATCCAGCAAACTTGAGGCACAATTGTTCGCATTTGAAGGCAACTGTTGACACATCGCACATGAAAACGAATACTCAGTGTAGTAGCTGCCCATGATGCTACGACAAGCTGTTTTGCTAAAATTGTTTCTTCAACCTTGTTAATTGAGTGTAGATACAGATCTAGGACAGATACATGATGAAGAGAAGAATAAAAGACCTGTTGGTTGTGATATCATAATTTTTTTTATTGTCACCTCTTGTGTAAAGAGGCTTATGACCTCAAAATTTCAAAACAAAGGAATCTTGTATCTTTTTCACACTAGTTGTATTTTTTTGCCTTGTATTTTTTTGCCCTATCGCATTAGATTTGGAGTCTTTGAGGATGTCATCCATAAAATTGCTATGGCCTTGTGACCTCAAAATTTGAAAATACAGTAATCTTGTATCTTTTTCACCTTATATTGTATTTTTTCGCCTGGTGTTTTTTTCCCTTTTGCATTAGATTTGGGAGTCCACGGAAGATGTCATCCATAAAATTTACTTGCTGCGGCCTTATAAGAAAACACTGCCGCCTTCCCTTGATGTACCCGGTCTGGACAATAACATCTGACAAACTTTTTCATCCCTTCCATATGTCATCTCCAGACTTTCGAAATTAGACAGAACAGCGGTGAACTGGCGTCAGACCCAATCCCGTCGACTTTTATCATGCCGAGAGGGAAATAACTCGGGTCCTTATTACCTCCCACTGAAGAAGAGCGGAATGATGGATGTAATAACCAGCCACTTCTGCAGACACCGGGTCCCGTAGGGACGCCTTACGCAGTTTATCATCATTATTATCTAGCCAGAATCATAACCTATAACACTCACTTTCATACCACGCAGCAAAACATAAAATATACTACCGGGCTTGCATTAAAAAGAAGGGTACGGGCATTCAGACTGATTGTAACATGTAACAACTTTACATTGTGATTATCATACAATAAACTGTGTGCACATTCACAGCACGATTTTTTTGGATCCGTTGTCGATAGACTTTTGTATATTGTTTCGTGCTCTGAATAATACAATATGCGATTAGATAAACATCGATTCTGTCAAATTTATACTTTCAATATCTATCAGCCAAGTATGTCTGGGTGGATTTGCCGAGTATTAGCGCTACAGAATTTGTATAAAAGAATTACTTTCAGCTATGTGACATACACAATGTAGCTGTCTTGAGTAATGATTAAAATATTGATGTTTGAAGTTTGCCTCGGGTAGTCCCATTCATCAGAAAATTACATCAGAAAATTATTAATAAGTAAAACTCTTTCTCCAATCTAGTCATCGGCAGTTGAAAAACTTTTCCAGATATCTGCAGGGTTTTTTGATATTATCTTTTGACAGAAGATGAAATCCGGTACAGTAAAAGTTTCAGTGAATCCTACTTAACTATTAACCAACATGAACTTTACCGTCTGGCTTTACACGAGTTTGCTTGAGGATATGACAAGTTCATTATCGAATACCAAAGGAAGACACAAGGGTCAGGACACGAAATACTGGGTACATTACATCATGTGCTTTCATGCACCCAAAATTGAAACTATGCACCTAGAGATTTATGTAGGTTATGTATGTGAAAGTACATCTACTATTGTGTACTAGTGTGCAGCATATACTTTACAATATAAGTGTCAGTTAAAACACCCCGGTACTAAAATCTTTGTTGTATCACTTGAATTAAAATAAAAATTTTGCTATTATATAACAGAATTTCAGATTCAAGTTCTGAAAAGAGGCTTTATATTCTACTCTTTTTTATGTTGTGCACCCCAAATTTGATCTGTATACCTAAATTTTTAGGTTTGGTGCACCAAATAAAAAAATAGCTTTGTAGCTTCGAACTGTGACAGTTGATCAGCTTTGAATGGTGCTGGATATCATATACATGTATATATACTGCAAATCATTATTTTTTTCGTGGTCACTTCTGTACCACAAACGCATTGCCCTAAACAAATAATTCCCCATTTTCTTTTTGCTTTCTTTTTGAACGTATATAGATCTGCGAAAACCTAAATTTTTCACAAACTTTTGCTACCGCGAACATAAAGTGATTTACAGTACACTGACAATGACATACATGTATCATGACAGGCACTCTAATCACACAAAAATTCATGTTGTTACAAAACAGGGTAGTGTAAGATGATTCAATTTTGAATATGATACAATAATCAGCTGAATGGCAGGAGTAATCTAGTTTGGAGTGACGGATGACGTTTCAAATTTAATAGAAAAGCTGAATACGATGCCAACAGATGTGTATCAGCCATCACATTTTTTTTCCTCAATAAGACAATACTACTCCAATTCCTTTATGTCCTGGCAAAAAAAATTGACAGTAAAACAAAAAAGCAGGCTGGTTTTGTTAACTTTCAGAGCTATTTGTTGTGAGGTAAATTCAAATGATGCCAATCTTATTGTTTTCACATTTGCACACTCAGACCTACACATAGGAAATATACATGTAAGCGAACCCTCCAAAAAAGTGCCGACCCTGGCCTTTTTTCTATGGATTCCTTCAAGGGACATAAATTTTTCCATCTGATCGACCTTTTCTAACTCCATGATCTGACATCTGAGTGATGAAACATTGCACAATTGGTTTTCAAACATTGACATTGAAAAACTAAGTGTCCTCATGCAAGTTTTACTTTGCTAAACTGTATTGTATAAGTTAAATCATCAGAGATTGCCAAAGTCAAAAAAAGATAATCCCTACCTACCGACCCTAAGTTTTTTCAGGACTGAAACAGGAAACACAATTTCTTTCCTGGGCCTCACTTCTACCCTTTGCAACAAAAAGGTGGAAGATGGAAGAAGTATGTGTTGTATGGTTTGTTTGCACTGCCGAGCAATTACGGAAAAGCCATAAATGAGTATGAACGACCCTCTCATGTCCAAACATTCAGAAGACCTATCCTCACTCTTCTTCACAGCAACCTTGCCCTATACAAAACATCTGAATAGTCTGCCAAATGGTCCTCTGGCCATTTCCAGCAATCACACTAAACCCCTGTCTCTCTGTCCATCAGTCTCAAATACTGTGAGGCCTAGGAAAAAAATGTTGTTTCCTGTTTCCCGACTGACCCTGGAAAAAAGAGCAAACCCTAGCCTCTTTTTTGTGTTGACCCCTGCAAGGGGCATAAATATTTCAAGCTGAACGACCTTTTCTAGCTCCATGATCTGACACTTGAGTGATAAACGGTTTTCCAACACCGACATTCAAAATAAAAGTGTCCTCATGCAAGTTTTACTTTCTTATACCGTACAAGTTGGATCACCGTTTGAATCACTAGAGATTGCCAAAGTCTATTGAAAAAAGGATGAAAGAAGAAAGATAATCTCTAACTACCGACCCGTAATTTTTTCAAGACTGAAACAGGAAACACATCATTTATTTTCTTAGGCCTGACTGAAACCCCCTGAGTCTGGTAAAAACTGCCCATGTATCCTGCCAACAATGACATCTTCACATTACCCGCCTAACATACCCGACCGCTCCTTCCCACATTAAAACTTTAACAAATCCACCCCGAACTCCCGTGACAAACTGTGCAGGTTCTAACCGACGCAGCTGGACATAAATAACGGCTCCTATCGCTACATTAGCATCCGTCTTTGTGCGGATGGGTGGTTTTGATTCAGAGGACTGGTCAACTGGACTTGCGATCTGCGGTGATGAGGCTTTAGATAATGACCCGGTGATCCTCCGGACTTCTCGATTGATAGACCCGCAGAAATGTCTGGGCCGGTGGAAAAGCCTGGATCCCGCGGTACCGTTTCATGCTCCGTACCAGCGCGAGGTGCGAACGATCGGAGAGATCCGCCCGAGGGGACTCCCTGATATTGAAGTCATCATTCCGCTCAATTCTCCCCATTTCTGCTCCATTTTCGGACTTATCGCACACTCGGGCCAGCCTCCGCTGCCTGACCTCAAAGCGGTACTTTCGTGACCCCGCGTTATCGTACCCGGGCCTCGTAGATGCGGAGACCCGAGGTAAATGGCCCAGGGGGATGGAGGGGGATTTGTCCGGCCCATTTTGGTGGATGAATGGAAATTAACTTGTCCGGGCAGACACCATTTCAGATAGATCTTCAAACCGGGCATTCAAGCTCCGATGTGAAAGGGGTGCACGAAATGGCCCTTGCAGGCTTCTTATTTTACAGAGTGGCAAGCTAAGCCTTTATGAGTAGCCCGATACTACAACTTGTCATAATCTTATTGCTTCATCTTTGATAACCGCAGGTTACTAATCTGGAGTGCAAGGATATACGTTTATTGCCTGCTCTTGTATTGTTTTCCTCCATCACACACATGCAGAGACATAATTCCCTCTTCATAAAACTTCATACTCTTGAATACCAATATCAATCTTACTTAGGCACGTATACATGGCTACAGTTATGAAAGGAAGTTTCGGAGGCTGTCTGTTAACCATGAACGCGTGGCAAATGGGATTTATGAAGAACAATTCAGGGCCACAGAATTTTATGTGTGCAGAATTCTATGGCTTGACGTTACGCTTTAGATTCAAGCACTGAATAACAAACATTTTTTTAAACTCAAGAATGATAGCATTCTTGTGCGGGCAAGACAGAATCTCTATAGAATGGTAGCTACAACATACATTTTGTAGATTATGTCAAACTATGACAATGTAAACAGAAGTTGCAAGTTTAAGAAAGTTTGGCCAAAGCATCTAACTTCTTCAAGTTGAAGGACACAGTTTGAACACAATGTTTCAGTACAAAATACAAATGTATGGAAGTCCCCCCCCCCCAACAGTTTGACCCATTACTAGAGTTCACAAGGTCACATGACCAAAGTAGCGGGTCATTCATACTGAAGAAGACTGCAGACACAGCCAAAAATCTGGTCTCCACTTGATGTGATTTATCATTACTTTCAATGATGTAAACTGCATCTTTGTTACATATTTTGTCTGACCCTTACCTCTTCCCTAGGCCTCGATGAAAAGCAACCAGAGGGCCAATTTGAGCTTGTCATAAGTAGAGAATGGTTCAAACAAGCAAACAAACAAAGACATCACAAGTTACCTGAGAAGAACCCTGGAGCGACGGCGGACTGTCGTGGGTAGTGGTCGTTGGGGAACACGAAGGAGACTGTCGCATCTGGGCAAGTCTCCTGGAGGAAACAAAACAGCCTGATGGTTTGTTTACAGTTAAAACTTTTGTTCCAACGCGAAGAAATTCTCTCACCTAGAGCTTTCTCTCACCTACATTGTAATCTGCTTCGTCAGTAGACTGACTCAGTGAGACTTGTCACATGGCTTTTTTGAAGTGTGACGACAACACTGGGTCAAAGGTATCTGACAGACGATGTTGGCCTTCTTCCAAAACCAGTGTTGCCGTATTCAAGTCCAGAGGTTTAGGTTCAGGTCCAGACTTGTAAGTCCAGACCTAAACCCATGGCATATACAAAATTGCATGTTGGCAAACATTCCGTAGTGCACACTGTGCTACCAGGGTTTAGAATAGAAGCAAATTCAAGCAATATATATCTGTATCAAGATGTATTTTTTGCAAAACACATCTGGGTGAACTATGGCCACATAATCATGGAGGCTGACACATGACAATACCCAATGGCAATTTCTTCTTCACTTTGCAGTGCAAATTTTTATGGAAGGCTTTAGGTGGAATGAAAAAGGGAATGTGACATGGTTTTTTTTTGGTAAGTCCGGAACTGGTTCCCAACGTTCAGGTTTTTTTTGGACTTGAACCTAAACATTTTCCAGACAGCACTACAGGTACGTAATATTGGTGGCTGTCTGAGCCTGTCCATCAAGGCTAAACATTGCCCAGATCCATCAGACTTGTTACAGCCCATTATTGGCACCATGTGCGACGTTACATGCCCTGAGATGTTCGAATTACTGCAAATTGTTACCCCAGGATTACGGCCATGTTGATCACAATCTGGGGGCCCATAACCGGGATCAGGCCAATCCTACTCACTGCCTCACAAATGATTCTAGCTAGGCTGATTAGGCCTCGCAAAGGACATCCTGTGGATAACATACTACGGAAGTTCCAATTCTGACACAAGAAATAAAGAACAAACTAGGAAGCAAAGCATATGCATAATGCTAATGGTTAGCTTTGCATATGGTCTGCTCTGTTAATTCATACTCAAACACATTCATATATAATGGTCAGACAGGAGTCTAAATCCCTCCTGCTATAAAATTGCAACATGATGTAACCCAACACTAGTTACCATGGTAACAGACAGTCTGGTTTAGGTTCTGAATCAGGTCATTGACCTTTTTGGTTTGGAGAAGAAGAAGTGGAAACGTAGCAAAAACAATATGTTTTCCTTCGGTAAACATAACTAGAAAGGTACAATATATGAAACCTAACAAACTACTGGTCTGTTTATCCTTCATCAAAAAAATCCATACATAAGGTGACAATAATCCAACTCTGGCCTACTTGCGACATAATGTAACCCAACAACAAAGGGTCTGCTACAGCACCAGTTACCATGGTGACAGACATCTGGTCCAGGTCATTGACCTTGTGTGTTTGGAAGGGAAGAAGAAGCAGACCAAAAACACTACGTTTTCCTTCTACGAAGGTAAACATAGTAATTTAAAAGAGTAATCCTTGATATACAATGGCTACAATGTAGATTTTGAAAGAAATGAAGGAGTGACAAATCATAACAGACAATGTACAAATGGATTAAGGGACATGAACAGTACCTTTTCACAAGTTGCCTCTCCTCGCTGGTGTAGAACGGCCAGTCTTCCTGGACATCACTAAAGGTAGCTTTATTCAGTGTGTAGTTGTCATCCTTACCTAATGTTGCTATCTGTAGACACAAGACAACAACAGAGTTGTCTGGGTGATCTGTTATCAGCCTAGAACTGGGTTTTAAAAAACCTTAATATGATTAAAAAAGGTCTATTTTCAAGTAGCAATGGCAACTATAGCTGTAACAGTATACAACTCAAAATACAGTGCTGTTGCTATGTTGATTTGATTATATGAATGACATCCGCACGCGCATGAATTTTTGTCCATGTCTACAACATACTGTAGATCATAGAAAACAGCTGCAAAATGAGCAAGTACATGCTATAAATTTGCAAAAAAAAATGGAAAACGGTGCTTATATCGTAGAATACCAAAATCAATTCCATAGGAAAAGAAGAAAATGTGAAGAAATGGAAATGAAGAGTCACCATACCATACTGTTAAGTGTTTAGTCATTTGTTCAACCTTCATGACCACGTAGATTTCATAATGAAGGCAATTTGAGGGGGGGACTTTTTATTTGCAGGCTCAGTTTTGGTGTTCCCAGAGGATGTCATCCATACAATCAAATCAACATGACCTAATGAGAACATACATTCAAGAACATCTCTTTTTGAAACAACATAGGTACAAGTTTGCATAATATCAAAATCTAGCTGATGATCCCATTGACTAGTATGAAGGAGTCTACCTCTTTGAGAATGTCTGGCAATGATGTCTTGTCACTGATCCCGTCTTTATTCAGTCTCAAGATGAGCTCAGGTTTCTTGTAAGGCTTCATGGCCAGGAGGTGGACGACTCTCTCCCTGCACAAACAGGAGCAACAAATTACCGGAAATCCGGGGATCGAATCCCGGTAACCACCGCACGGCATCTATCACATGATATCACAACATGCCACTCTGAAGTCACAATTTATAGAAGTCTCCCAAGACTAAGGGGCACTTTAGACTGACGACGGTTCGATAGTCGTACGAATGTTTATCGTCAAGATGTTGCCGGCGACGGTATTTTACCACCGTCTAAAGACGATCCAAATAGTCGCACGACGGTAATCCTCGAATCGTCGTCACTACCACCTCGGACCCTATCGTGCGACCCTTCAGCGGGGGGTCCGAGGAGGATTTTCCACCGTCTAAAGTGAACCGTCGCCGGCGAAGGAAGTGGGAGGTCATTGGCCTTATGCAAATAAGCCTGCAAGCGTTTTTTCATGTCCAAGCACATCGCCTGTATCATTAAATGTCGTCAAACCAAGACTTTATATCGTCATACGTGTCTAGTACAATCCCCTGCCACCAATCGCTACTTCTCCAGTACGAACCGATCCGCCGATCCACATTTCCCGGCCAATATAGCCAGGCCGACTGCAGCACCGAACGCCGGGTTCAAACCCGGAGTATTGCCCCGCTCGGTACATGTGCCATATACCCCTTCTTTGCTGGGCACAAACTCGGCGTCTCATCAACAGGACAACGAGTTAAAAGCAGAATAAAAACAATCTGCTGCAGCATGCCGAAAAAGGGGGTTCTCTCGCCATTTTGAATTGGCGCGCGGCGTGCCATCCTGCACTGCGGGTGTCCGCCACACTTTCTGGTCATATGTCTAAAGCCAGCCGTCGCCCACAACGATTGTCGTGCGATCGTATACTGTCGTCATTCTTAAGTCGGCCTGAGTCTCAAAAGCTCACAAACCGTCGAGTTAAGTTTGCTGGACACTGCTTTCCAACCAAAAAAAAATTAAGTTACATAGTGCACTGCAGAAGTTAAATTTTACTGACACTTTAGTAAGAGACACTGATATACTTAGAAAACGTAATGCTTGATAAGGGTATGTGGGGGTAGATCTATACTAGCTTAGTCCCGGCTAATAGATTATGATGATGATATCATACTGGATAGGTTAATAAATATATATTTATGCTAAGTGTTAGGAAATAAAAGCATCACCACTGGCCTAATCTCCTGGAAAAGTGGTCATTATACACCTTTATTTCACCAGTACTGTTGCTCACCTGCACGGTCTCTTGGAGACTGCAGTCTGTCTCTCGTGGTTATTTCTGGAGCTATTGACAGAGGGACTAGGTTTACTGGCCGTACTAACACTGTGTAGGGTCCGTTGTTTGGCGGTCTGTTTCTGAATCCTGAAGGAGGAGCTATGGATGGCACTTTTGGTGTGTTTGCGGCTTGGTGGGATGGGCTGGCTGGGATGTTTGATCTTAACTTTCCTTCCTGGTGTAACAAGAAAACATTTCAGTTTATCCCACATATTCGCAAGTTCTATTTATAACACAGAGATGCGAGAGCACTGAAATTCATACACGCTTGTTTCCATTGGGATACTCTTCAACTGAATGGCACTAGGACGTCATAGCACAAAGTCTAAGTCTGACTGCACACATGGCTTAAAAGAGCCACCTAGCAGATGCTAACATTACTGCAACATCCTGAACTACAAGAAACTTCTCTCAATGATGAATTGCTAATAAAACAGTTTAAAATATTCATCCGATTGAGCCAGCAATAATTGATACAAAGTAAATTACAAACTTACCTATTTTTGGTCCTAGTTTGTCCAATACTTTAGTCCTGGGAAAAAAGGAAATCAAGAGAGTTTTTAGTTTGTCCTTGGTACCTAGAACTGGTCACCTAACAAAGAATGTGATCTTGATAATCATTTCGTGTAACATCTGTGTCCATAATATCACCAGGGTCCATAATATCACCACCTTGAGAAACAGTGAGCTTAAAGATATTTTTACTGCAACATACTTTTGGTATGCACTCCTTCACACATCAAATGTACATATCTAGGGTATGTTGCAGTAAAAATATCTTTAAGCACACTATTTCTCAAGGTGGCGATATTATGGACCCTGGTGATATTATGGACACAGATGTTAATATCTTGTTCACCAGATGTGTAGATATGCTGGCTGCCAACTTACATATAACATGTCATGAACAGTTAACTTTCTGGCCATTTTCATATCTTCTAAAAGGGCTCTAGCCAGCTCAAAATTTTTATCCCTTGGCCCAGGTTCATGATCAGACCTCTCGCAATCTAGGGGGGTCCATGGGCAAATTTAGGATTTTCAAGGCTTTACAAATGCAATTTCCTACATTTTGAGAGGCAAATCGTGGAGTTAAGAGTGGTTGGTGGTGTTCCACTGGATGTTTTCATATCTTTACCCAAGATTTTTGTCAACTTTGTCCGTTAAAGTTTTAAATTTTTTTCCATCACACGCTACAAAGTTCCTGCAATTGACAAAAAAACGGGTGCTGGCTACAGCCCTGCTTCTAACTATACTTCATTCACCCTTCCTGGCACCTCTGATACCAGGTACATGTACATTCATTAGACGTTGGTGACAATAATATGCTTGTTCTGTGATGCAATGTGGGTAGTATGTCAACGTTGAAAGCTACTGAGACATAAACAAATCGTGTCTGGACATGTACATTGTTTTAAAAGCCAGGTCTAGACAAGAACTGTTTACATAGTACACATGTAAGGGCCTTCAACTCTGACCTCACCCATGCACAGTTCAAACTATGAACTGGTTTATTGTGCTGTTAAAATGTTGTGTTTCAGTTTCCTGACCGACCCTGGAAAAAACTGTTTCGAGCCTTTTCTAGCTCCATGATCTGACATCTGTGTGACGAAATGTTGTACAATCCGTTTTCCAACATTGACATTGCAAATATACAATGTAAGTGTCCTCATGCAAGTTTTACTTTGTTAAACAGTATTGTTTTAAGTTGGATCATTTGAGATTGCCAAAGTCTTAAAAAAAGAGAGAAAAAAAGATAATCCCTACCTACCAACCATAATCTTTTAAGGACTGAAACAGGAAACACAACATTATTTTTCCTAGGACTAACAGGAACAACTGACGACATGTTGCCCCATTTTATTCCATCCCAGGAGCTGTTTCAACGACAGTTTCTTTCATGTACGCTGCACATGGCTCCCTACTTTACAGATAAGGACGAATGCTTTGGTGGCTGATAGAAAGGACCTTAAAGATGTCTGGCTCTGACAACCTGGCTTTCAAGGCTGGAATGTGCTTAGTGATCACATTCCTCACAGATCTAAGGAGAGGCAGCTACCGCAATCTCTAAGTTAGGCCACAGCACTTTAATCCATTGGTTCTTACATTTTGTAGATTCGCCCGCTTCAATTTTTTCTGATTTTCAACAACAAAAAAAAGGATTCAGGTTCTGAATTGACAACAAAAATGCTCAATTTTGGATTTGCAACAAAAACAGGAATCAGGTTTTGAACTGACTCAAAAATGTTCGTATTTTGGTCCAACCAGTTGAAGAAAGCTCCTTGCCTTCCAAGTTCCTACATGTAGTTATAACAGTTTTCCCATCTATCTATCAATGCACTGGTTTAATGACAAGTTTTAACCTTCATGTTTGGATTACAAAGCAGCCTGGTACATGTAATACTTCATGACTCCTATCAAGTATCATAGCTTTTGGGGTTATCATAGGATGCTTAGGTCTTTTTTTTGGCCTTTTGCTTCATTCTTTTGCTGAAAAAATCTGAAAACCAACAAATCAAATTAGTGTGGCCTCACTTGTACTACTAGGTACTACTACCCCCCCCCCCC